AGGTACAAGGTCAACCAATATAACATATAGTCTCCGAGGATCATTTTCTTCTCTTCTATTCTCATTTCATTTTCTTCTTTCCTCTCACATATTATTTTTTCTCTTATTGTCTTTATAAAAAAATCAATATAAAATATTAACGTGGCTAAACCGTAACCGTTCAAATGGAAGAAAAAGAAATGAGAGAGAAATTAGGAGGGAAGAGAACCCTCCTTCCTCTGTATATATAATATTCATAACATCTCTTGTTAAATCAGAAATAATAATGCTAAAGAAACTTAATTTGTGGATAAAATTTTAAAAACTAAAGAACATAGAAGTTGATAATTGGTTTATTACTTACACGTTGATAAACTTACTTATTCTTATTGATGACACATAATTTAGTTTGCAAATTTAGTTCCAAATTTGATCTACCTAGCATTACCCAATCAGAAATTACAATGTGCAGTGGTTAATTTCCCTCTAATAAATATGTGTTCTTGATTTGCACAGATGGATAGACTTCTTAATGGACAAATAAAAGAGCTCAGTACCCAACAAAATTCAAATCACTCCCATTCAGCGCATCGAGTTATGATTCAGTAATTTTCTCTGTGATCAATTACTAATCTCTTTGCCTGTTTCACTTGCTAACTATCGACAAACAAATGGCAGCTGAGACCAATATTGCATTTAATCGTGCAGACAACTATGAACCCTACTCCACAAACATAAAGAGGTTTCGCGTGAGATTAATCGTGCGTGCTTAAATGTTCAGCAAGCACTTTTAGAAAGCAAACTCTAGGAATTGGTCTAACGGCCATGGATCATTAAGATTAAATAAGAGTGCTGATATCCCCACTTGTATCTTATTTTTTCACCCACGTCTTAACAAAAAATTTATTTACAAATTTACCTCTTGACAAAATGACGCATAAGGACCTAGAAGTTATCAAATTGCAACCTTTGATTTGTTCTTACTTTGCTCTCTCGGTTCCTTTCCATCCTCTTCTCCCTCGCAATGTGTCCTCCCTTTCTTTTTTCCCCATGTGATTTGTTTTTTCTTTAAAATTTTTCATGCTTGTTGGTCACCCCATATGTTAATTTTGGATTTAGGTTTTTACTGGTTGTTGTAACAGAGGATGGTGTTTATGGTAGGCTGGGTGGTGTTTAATGGTCTGTTTGATCTGATGTGTACTATTGTGGCCCCTTAATCATGATGCAAGGTTCCTGTATTTTGTCTTTCAATTTCATCGTGCTGTCTAATGATATGATGCTTTACTAGAATCAGCAGCGTACGCGACGAGAAAGTATCAACAGCGAATGTGAGGAGGAAGAAATGGGAAAAAATATCGTAGTCTGAAAAATTCAAGAGCCATGCCGGAGATTGAGGTTGTTGCCGACAATGGCGACGGCTCCGACGACTGCTGGGATGCAGGCCTTCGCAAAGGTGTGCCACACGCAGACGTGGTGTCAGGCCCACATCAAGCAGAAGATGCTCGAGGGCGGGTTCACGACGGACGGTGAAAGGGGTTGCCGTTGAGTTGCGTTCGTACGGGGTTGGGTGGTAGTTTTTTTGAGTATTTTTTCAGTTTATTTCTTTCAATTTCCGGGAAATAGTAAAATATATGAAGGACATTTTAGGAATATTGGAGGGTGGAGAAAGAGTATTTTTATTTTTTTAACTTTGTTGAGGGGTGATAATATAAGCGGGTGTGAAAATAAAATTATGGATGGATCTAGTAACTCTCTTAAATAATCAGCTAAAACCCCTTTTTTCGGCTAGAACTTAATTAGGCAAAGATTAGATATCATCAAAACGCACCTTGCTTTCACATGTGTATTTTGTAAATCACTCCAATTAATTAGTATTTAAAAATAAAATTTAACTATCAACAGTCATATTTATTTGATTTATGAAATAAGTTTAAACTAAACGTAAAACATGTGGTATATGACTAATTTAGATCATCTTCAAAAGAAATGTCAAATTTTGAACATAAAATTTAAATTTTGACAGCTTATGTGACACTTTGAGATCTTTTAAAGTTTTATTCTCCAACCAAGATATATCAAATTAAATTATTATTTTATTATGTTATAAAATAAATTATTAAACTAATTAAAATTTAATAAATAACATTTAAAATTTAATCAGTAATTTGTTCACCTTCCTTGAAAAGAAGAAAAAAGTAGGATAATTACAACGGTCAACTCAACATTAATTATAATAAATGATTAAACTAATTAAAAATTAATAAATACATTTAATAATTAATAAAAAAACATTTGAAGCTACTGTCAAATTTGACAGCAACCTCTTTTGCTGCCAATTCATGTCATCGCCACATAGGATTTTGTACTTCGGTTAAAGAATATTAGTGTGGTTTTTTTTTTTTTTTTACTATTATAGCTGATGTATACATTTTGACATTTCATTTGAAGATGCTCTTAAGATTATAAATTGAACTGTTCAAGTTATGGATTTGTACGTTTCAATGCTGTTTGACATACATTGTAGATATCAGTCATGTTGCCTTTGATTTTTCTAGGCATAACCAGTCGAAATGATTGTTGAGGAAGTTTTCTTCTCTACTGATCTGTCTACTTACCCATCAGCTGATGAAGCTAAAACCAGGAAGCAGGGCAAGCACCAGTACAGTCACATCGCAACACTTTAACCTTCCTTTGCCTCCAGCATTTTTCTGTAACTGCCATTTCCACTGTATGTGTTGCGTGCAAGCTTTTCAAGTGTCACGTCGTTCATCCAATGACTTCAATATATGTTATTACAAATTGGCGTTGTAAGTTAAATTTGCGTATTTCACATACATATTTTTTAGTGACGGATTCAGGATTTTAATATCTGATGGTCCCAATTTAGAAGCTCTAAAAAAAATTAGACGAAAAACCTTGAAAAATTAAATGATGAACTCCTAACTTTTCATTTACACGCTACATACTACAGCTTGTGATCATTTCCAAAATGAGCCACAAGGTTTCAGTTTCAGCATTTTATACCTAAATGTTTTTATTTTCAGTTTTTATGACTGGTTTAAAACGAAGCAAACAATGCAAGTGATGCATTATCCTGGTGATTAGAGTTTTCCTATTCAACCATTGCGTCTCGGATTCAAACTCTCTTTCTTCTTTTATTGTAAAATAAGCATTAAAATTGTCTTCTGTAATTAGAAAACCATGCAAACAAATGAAAATAATAAAAAATGAAGAAAACAAGGGGAAGAACATACACACAAACAAGATGAAATTGATAGCAATTACAAAATAGATCAATAAAAGAAAGGAAGAATGAGGAAGCGGTAGAGAACAAAAGGATATAATTTCAACCAAAAAAAGAAGAAGTAAAGACGTAAAATAAAGTGAGGTGGCTTAATTTTCTAATAGCTAGAAAACACCTTGGCCCAAGAACAAACGGCCACAAAGCACATACTTATTAAATGACGGGATGAAACGACGCCATACTGTCAAGCGTTAAAAGTTGAAAAAAGTTGTTTTTCTTCTTCTTCCTCCTCAGGCTGCACTTTCTGGTTTTCTTTCCCTGCAGCCGCTACCACCAAATGCTCAGATTTAGGTGGTCCTCAGTGGTCTTCACATCCAACTATTCGGACTTATGGATGGTCCTAGGACCAACTTGGTCCCTTAATAGATCCGTCTCTACAATACACGTATATTGTACATATTTCTTACACATTTTTAAATAATTCATATAAAATTGAGGTTGGGGGCTTATGCAATGGCACGATAGCCAAGTGAATAACCACCTCATCGAAGGTTGAATTCCTCACCCCAAATTCCTAACTAGTAAACAGAGTTTAACCTATAAAAAAATAAAGTTCACATATATGTAAATATTTTAGATAAATCAATATTAAAATTTTAAATAATGACCTAATTTTTAAACATATGTTTCATGCTAGAGGCGCCTTGATAACCATTTTACTATTAGTTTTCACTTTTTTTGAAAATTGGAAACCCTTATTTGGTTACTAGAAGTGAAAACTACTTTTTTGAGTTTTCAAAATTTCGCTTTCAATATGAAAACTAGAATTTGAAAGTAGTATCAAACGAGTTTTTAGTTAAAAAATAAAAAATGAAAACGAAATGATTATCAAACAACTCCAAAATTACAAATAACACATACGTATTTTTTATGCACTTTATCATTTTATATTTTACGAGGCTTTTATATTTTAGGGCATAAATAAAATTCCTTTTAGACTTTACCCTAAATGGTTTTCTAAATCTAATTTAAGTTTCTATTTTTAAAACTTACCATATTTAAGTAATTATAGCACATTTATTATTTATAAACTTATCATCTGAAATTTATTCAAAATTCAAAGTCAACAGCAAAATAAAAACAATTTATATTAAAAAAAAAAACTCTTAGATACGTAAGTTTTGGTACGAATATATTGGTACATAAGTATTGGCACAAATGTATCGGTACATAAGTATCGGCACTAATGTATCTGCACATAAATTTTGATACGAATGTATTGGTACATAAATTTCTATACGAATGTATCAATATGTAAGTATCTAAACATACATAGATACGTAAAATACATATATATATATATATATGAAAAAATTCACGCACAATAAAAAGTGTGGATGATAATATATGAATTTTCTTATTATATGAACTTAATAATGATTATCCCTTTATAATATAACAGTAACAATAAATAAATATATGCCTTCGAGTCAATCCAAAAGCCTACATTACTTTCGCTCAAAATAAACCCAAATGTGAGATATGCAATTACTATACCACGGCTCCCACCACCGCTTTCCAATTAAACCCTACATTACACGGCAACGGCATGCTCCTTTCTCCCATTGCCTTGACTTTCAAACACCCTTCCCCTCCCCTATTTATTCCCACAACGACCTTTGCCATTAGAATAATCCCAATATCTCACTTCCACCCTCCTCTCCTCTCCCGGCCCAATTAATTCCCCACTCACGGCAAAGCAAAACCCCAAACAATTGATCAGAGCAAGCACGATTCCTCTTTACAAATATCAGAAGATAAAAATGAAAAAGAAGGAGACAAACTGATCAGAACAATCCTCACTTCTCTCTCTCTCTCATATCTCTGATGAAGGTTCCAATTAAGCCCCAGCAGGTATTCTTTTCTAAGTTCCCTTTGCTTCTCGTCGGGTGGGGGGATTGGGTTTGTACTATACTTTTCAGTATTTGAGTAGAGAGCAAGCATCATTTCATGATCATCACTCTTCACTCACTAGTATTAAATCTAAAGTCTAAAAGAAGGGAATGGGTCGATAAATAGTACCTCTCTCTCTCTCTCTCTTTTAGTTTCACCCCACACAACTTTTTTTTATTTTCATTTCCTTTCTTGTCTATCTTTCTAGCAGGCGATTCCTGTTGTGGGTTCTGCCCATTTTATATAAAAATCAAATTATATTTGTTTAATTTATATAATTTCTCATCAGTTTTTATCCTATTTTCTATATTTTCTTTGGGAGATGGGAAGTACTAGTGTTTTTTTATTGTACAAGTGTTAATTAATAAACAAGAAACATTGAACTCACAGGAGTAGGTGGTGAGACTATAAGAAGTGATGTTCTGCTGGGCTAAGGAGAGGATATATCCAGTGCCAGAAAAACAAACAGCAGAAAAGCGTTTCTCCTTCTCTTTTGTTTGGCTATACCTATAGCTTCGTAGCTGCTATAATATCTAGCTAGCTTTCTCTCTGTCTCTTTATCCCTCCCTTTGGTCGTCATCATCACCATGGCTTCATCAAACAGACACTGGCCAAGCATGTTCAAGTCCAAGCCTGCTAATTGCAGCACCCACCACCAATGGCAGCATGACATCAACCCTTCTCTTGTCTCAAACGGCTGCCACCGACCCTCCTCCTACTCCTCAGGTAAATCCCCAAATTCCTATTTCATCACTCACTTATTTATAACCATCTTCAACACTCATTTATGTTAAAACTCTTTTCAATATTTTATAATTATTTTTCACGAAAGTTTATACAATCCACTTTTCTATGTATAATAATCATAGTATTTTTTTTTTCATAATCCATACCAATTATGCATAATTTGTTACAAATTATTATGTTAAGTTATGTGAATGTAACAGTTGGAGGGTGTGAAGAACGCAGTCCGGAGCCAAAACCTAGATGGAACCCGAAACCGGAGCAAATTCGCATCCTCGAAGCAATCTTCAACTCCGGGATGGTGAATCCTCCGAGGGATGAGATCAGGAAGATTAGGGTTCAGCTGCAAGAGTACGGTCAAGTCGGAGACGCCAATGTGTTCTATTGGTTCCAGAACCGAAAGTCAAGAAGCAAGCACAAGCTCCGCAACCTCCACAACTCATCCAGGCAACAACAAACCCACCATCACCACACCCAGCTTCCTATCTCCACCCCCGTCTCTGCCGCCACCACTCTCAACATCATCAATGCCGCCGCCCCTTCGTCCTCGTCCTCATCCTCCTCCGAAAAGTCATCCCCCAAAGCACCAAACAACAAGGCCTTCTCCATGGGGTTCTCCACTCATGAGGCTTCAGTCAACTCTCCAACTGCTTCTGTGAACCAAAGCACTAACCTTTTCCAGCCTCACCATCCTCTCCACAACGAGGTCTTGCTCGAATCTCCGTTCTTTTTTCCAGTGCATCAGGCCAACATTAATCGTAATTTGACACAAGGGTTCTGCTTCTCTGAGCTGGCTAATGTGGTTAATGTTCCACGTCATGAGCAAACCAATAATAATAATAACAACATTGGGCCTTGCACTAATATCCTGCTGAGTGAGATCATGAACCATGGAGCAATATCAAGGAAAGAATATCACCACCATCAGGAAGATCAGATCAAGGCCATGGAGAATGTGGATCATCAGCAACACCTCAATTACAATATCGATACCACAACTCCAACTACTGCTGCAGCTTCTACTACTCCTACTGTCGCTGTTCCATCCCCCGTAATCCACAATGGTCGAGGTAAATAAACTCAAAATTTCATGTTTTGCTAATTTAGATCTCCATATATATGTGCAATAATAGTAATAGATTAGAGCATTTTTCTTTGTATTATGAAGCCATAGTATATACCAAAATGTAACAAAGTGGGATTGGTTGATGATGGGTTTTGTATTTTGGGGTGAAAGTAAGGGAAAGGGATCCTCTCCGAACCCTTTCTCCTAATCTAATAAATCAAGGAATCCATTCTATTGAAATTTGATCCAACAGTTACAAACATGAGCCTACTTTAAAAGTTATAATAATTTTAGCTTTTGGATCAAATTTCAGTGATACGAATTTTTTAATTGATGGATTATGAGGAATAGATCCAGAGAGGATCCCTTTCCGAAAGTAAGGTTTTATATCATGGGACGAAAGTGAATGCCACGTTTGTCATATATTAGGTATGGAAAGGAGGGTAGATTTGTCTTTTCGATGGGCATGAAGGTTTTAGCTTGCTAGGTTTTTGCGTTTGGGATTATGATGGACGTGTGCATGGGTTTTGATTGCCTAGTATGTTCTGTAACCTGTTTTAATTTAGGTTAGAATAATTATTACCCGGCCGGACATTACCGGACTGTTCACGTACTGGTGAAACGACGTCGCATACTGTGTGATTGTGTGACTTAATCGGGTGGTGTTTGGAGTTTTGGACAGGCGGTGTTGGTGAAGCGGGTGCAATGGCTCCGGGAGGTGTGGCGAAATCAACGGTGTTCATAAACGACGTCGCATTCGAGGTGGGTGTGGGTCCCTTCAACGTGCGTGAGGCTTTCGGGGATGACGCCGTTCTCATTCACTCCTCTGGTCAGCCCGTTCTCACCAATGAGTGGGGTCTCACCCTCCACTCTCTCCACCACGGTGGTTTCTATTATCTGGTATTAAACTTACACTTATTTTCCTTAAATTATTTGATTTCTTTTTGCTAATTAATCTTTAACAGTAACTTTATTTGGTTCCTTTCTATATGTATATCCCAAATTTTAAAAAAAAAAAACGTGATACAATAGAGATCCGGATTTAGCTAAATTGGCTAGAGTAGTATTTCTTCTTACCTAAGTTCGAATTCCACTTCGTTATGAAATATTTTAGATTATCTTGTTTGTAAAACAATGTGATTTCGTTTTGTTTTGCATCTTTATTTGTTGGCATCCAGCTAGACCACTGTTATATATGTGTGTATTTATTTTATCTATGCTTGCAGTTGATGATCATTAATGTGTTCTTCTGGGATTGTAGATATAGAAGAGGTGGAAGCTAGCTAGAGGAGACGGGCTTTGGTTTCTGTGTGCCTTTTCTCTATTTATGTCTTCTTTAATTTGTGCTAGAGTTTGCAATATTATAAGCCAGGGCTTCATCAATTTAGGGTTATTTCAGAGTTTGTGGACCTATTTATGTACTATTAATTTACTTGTTTCTGGTTATATAAAGGATGATAATATATATTTACGTGTGAGGTGTGTTTTTTCTATGAAAGGTTTAACCCCCATATCATGCTCATGTGCACGCTGGTAAACTCAAATTCAAATGAGATGATATCATCTCATAATTTCCGCTACTTTTCGATTCACTTTCTTATTGTTGAAGGGATCCAGACATCTGGTACTTTTCAATTTTTTTAACATTTGTTCTACGGCTTCCACCCAAAATTTAGATCTAATTGCCACGTTTCTTCCACAAACAACTGTCGACTATTTGTAGTTAGATGGACCTCGATTGTCAGTCCTCCCCCATCCCATATCCTTTCCATTCCTATCTATTTTTGTAGTTACGATTAAACCACGTCTAAATTTTATATTCTTATTGATTTTTGTCTTATTATTTCTATAAAAAAATCAATATAAAATATTGACGTAGCTTAACCGTGACAAAAGAATATGAAAGGATGAGAAGGGTATGGGATAGGAAGAACAGACAATCCAGGTCCTAGTTAGATTGTCACCCAAAGTATGGACAAATAAACCTGTAGTTGCTAAATAAACAAACAATATTGGCTAAAAAGAATATCTGTGATTATATGCTATATAGTTCATACGTATATGGTTTCTTTACAAAAATTGTAAACGGATGGGTGTATGATATTGTAGAAGCAACAAGTTAATCATGCATAAATTAAATTAGCTAGGAATTTCAACCAATTGTGCAGACCAAAATAGTATATAAATTAGTAATGAATTGAACTAATTAATATATGGATAATGCTTGCAAGTAATGGAATGAGCTCATCCTCAAGCTGGGAATGCAAGTATTATCCTTGGCAGGTAGGGTCTGTAAATGTGTAAAAGGAAGAGGAGGGGTGGGGGAGTAATATATCTGGCTAGGGTTATCATTGGGTCAGATATGGCCTTGCTATAGGCGTACTCAATGGAAGTTTTTGATGAACCCGATCTCTGTGTAACATATTAACCTATTGTCCGCTTATATATAATAATATGTAAAATGGTAACACCATATAATGATTATGTTTTGAATACAAAAATTCTTGACTCAATGGGACCCTGGTCAAAAAGACCCAAAAACGCTATCTCATGCAATAACGTCAAAGTGGTTGCATCATAGCCGATTCAGTTCAATATCTTAGTGACTTTCGGTTCGATCCACCAGAAGACAAAGAATTATGTAAGAAAGAGAAGCTATCTGTTAGATGGTGTACACCATTCTGCAATGTGGTAGGGCGTGCCTTACTTTGTGTACATGCACTGTTAATATGTGTGTCAATGTGTCATATTTTCTCTGAAAAATTTAGAGCATGTGTACTTATGAGAAGAAACTTACACATTAAGGCGCGCCCTAAGGAAATAAATAAATTTTAAGATGAAAAAAAAAAGGGTTGATCAGCTGAGTGGTATTTAATATATAACAATGATACACGTGTTGCCAAAATCTTGATCCGGTGTTCCCTGCAAGTTGCCATGGATCGTATGTATGTATGTATGTACACAGCATAATGAAATTAGGGCTTTTTAATGGATCTGTACATATACATACATTATGAGGTATCTGATATGATTGAAGGTGTGTGCATACAGAAAGTGAGCAGGGTGCCTTTCAGTTTCAGCAATACTTGGATACGATAGATCATCACCGTTTAATAAACATTATACATCTTGCTTCGACGACACATATCAATGAGAATCATAGGGCCTGACCAGAAACGGAAAAGTATTAATGTTTGACAAACATCCGGAATACATGATGGAATCCGATATAGGTGGGTGAAAAGAAAACAATGGAGTTTAAATATGATTACTTCATTTTAACTAATACCGAGGTTTTTTTGTGAAAAAACCCTATACCTGACGAATTGGGTAGGTGGTAAAGTTAAGAACAGTATCAGTGTCATTAGAGTGGGGTTCCCCAGGCCCGTCGATCTAAAAAATTTCAACATGGTATCCGAGCCAAGTTCGGACCCGTGCAAGCTAACGAGCTTAACAAAGAGCTGACCTTTGAGTTTCAATTGCGCTTAACAAAGAGCTGACATCTGAGTTTCAATTGCTGATTGTGGATCTTCGCACATGAGGGGGGTTTAAATATGATTACCCCACACCTGACGAATTGCACATGTAATAAAGTTGAAAACAATATCGATGTTGTTATAGTGAGATTCCCGAACTCTTCGATCCAAAAAATTTCAACAATGCATGCACTCACTACTCACAGCTGTGTGTTTAATTTCTGCCACATGCATTCTTTGCCGTACGTATATGCTTTGCAGTCGGTGATCATCAGAAGAAGGCAAGGCAGATTGTAAGCAGAGCTAGCTAGGTCAACGTTTCTTTTCTTTTTTTGGTGGTGCAGATTTGTTACGTGCAATTTGCAGTCTGAGAGGCCAACAGTACGTAGCTAGTGTTCTTACTTGGATTTGATTGAGTGATATATTTCGATCGATTGGATATATCAAACAAGACCTGCAGGTCTACCAAAATTCCTTGCCCTATAGTCTATAGCTACATGAGGCTAGGCCTACCACGTCACGTCGTACAACACTAGTCACTTGTGTGTTTACTTTTGCATGAACTATCACGTATTGTGGTGTAAGAAGATCGACCCATTTACTGCAGAGGAGACCGTGGAAAGCGATTCAAAGCATGGCGGTGGAAGGGGAAGAAGAAATCATGAAGTATTTGATGAGGTGCCTTTCCGAATCAACGTATCCAGGGTTTCTGAGAGGTATGGTTGTCGGAGAACACTATACAAGCTCGACGTGCCGCGTTAAGATTGGCTGATGTTGATCATGGCCTACACCCATGCAGTAATCTGCATTTACATGCCCCCACGAGGGACTTTCTGTACACTTCCATCATTTTCTATTTGTACGATTACGATTAAATCACGTCAATATTTTATATTACTGTTATTTTTTGTTTTATTATTTTTATAAAAAAATCAATATAAAATATTAACGTGATTTAACCGTGACCGCATAAAATAATAAAGGATGGAAATGTATGGAAACTGAAAGGGCAGAGAAGCCTGGTCCCTCCACGAGTGAATTAGGTGAAGAATGAGAGAAGAGAACAGTCACCTTGATGGGATTGTTCTTACATGTCCACAGCACGTATGTGATTTGAAGGTTTCATGTAAATAATTAATTCGGAAATTGACGTGAGGCGACAAAATACACCCATGAGGTTTCTGGTTGCATTTTAAGAAACACAAGCTTTATTATTTTTACATTGCAACATGAAGTATTACAGCTTTGATTTTGGCATGAAGTTTATAACCTAAAGTAAGCTAACTTTAGTGATTTAACTTGGACGGATCAGAGATGTTGAGTTATCTTGTGTCAGAGCAAATTTGAGTTGAGTTATCTCCTAAAAGCCTTCTAGAAGTGAGCCCGCTTGCAACATCCGCAATTAATAGATGTTTGTATAGTTAGACGTAAGTGTGACTTGAATTGTTATTTTCAACTTCAAACCTAGAAATGTACTTTGTAATTGACTCTTTCTTTTCTCGGTTAGTATTTGATATGATTAAAATCCACTCGACTACACTCGAGTCTTAAAACAATATGAGCCTCGTGTTAAACCTATATAATTGTATAAGAAATTAATGAAAAGTCCATCAAGCTGGGTCTTCGAGGGTCTGAGGCCATCTCCAATCGAAATAATCAAATATAGCCCTATCTAAAATTATAACATCTCCAACCGAAGAAACTAAACATAATCCCTTCAATATTTATTAGTTTTAAGTTTATTCTTTAAATTTATTAGTTAGTTAATTAAACTACCGTCTAATATTTTTAAATCTAGCCATTGAATTTGAATCAATTATTGCGATTGAGGTTGACCTCCAAGAAAGGGCTAAGCCGATGGCTACATTTAACCAGCCTGATGCCCATTTGGCTAAATAATGGTTTGGTTAACTCCATAGAATTATAACTCAGTCATTGGTTGGAGATGAGTTTTTGGGCAAATCATGCCATTTTTTTGCTTTTGAACTTTTAGCCCTCTCCATTGGAGATGACCTGTGTTTGCATGCTTTTTTCTACCGTGAAAGCTGATCCAACATTCACTTTCCTTTTAGTTTAACCTAGCCTAATCTTCAACCTTTGCGCACAATACATAAATTTGTTATAGGGCGGATATGTGACACTATTTTTTTTTTACACAATTTTTGACACATGTTTTGTGGAACCCACTCTGTAATGTACTTTAACAATCTAGACCATCTATTTTTTTGGACATTATTCATAGATCATCCTTGCAAAAAATTAGAAAAATTCAAAACCATTAAGACATTCATTTGTAGTGAAGAAAATGGACGAATACTATTATACAAAGAAACCCTTAATTCTCAACTCAACAGTCATATAGTTTTAGATTTCAGTGATTTTTGGCAGACATGATAATACCTAAAAGATAGACCGTTCAGATTGTTGAAATACATTACGAAATAAATCCTACAAAAATGATGTAAAAAATTATAAAAAAAAAAATGGTGCCATGAATTCGTCCCCTTTGTTATAATTCAAAACTTATATGATAAACCTCATATTAATCATGTGTCAGTTAGAAATTATCATGAACATTTGAAAGTAACCAATTATTTAGTCTGGATGAATCTTAGAAATCACGTATCTTACCGGACATCGTTTTTCATTATTTTTTTTTTGTTGGATGTTTTTCAAAGGAGACTCACTCATACAAAAATAAATAATAAAAAAAAAATCAAAATTGAAATGGTAAACGTTGGATTATTGCTGGTGAAATTAACGTGGATTTGTAGCTGATATAGTCGTAAGAGACTAGAAGAGCTGACCTTTCTTCCTAGAAACTATATCTCAAGATATATGGTGTTCCAACAAAAAATAAAAAAAAAGTATATGGTGTTGAATCCAAATAAATTAAATATATTTCCACAAGAATTTGGGTGTGTATATATTCTGTAATAACAATTGGACCCTTTCTCTATCCAATTTTAAATAAAAGAAACAAAATTACAGGTCTATGGGGTTGAATCTAAATAGTAAATGGAGCAATATCATGTTATAAACAACTCAAATCAGAAAAAAAAAAAAAAAAAAAAAGATAATAATTTTAATTTTTGAGAGGAGATTCAAATTTGAATGTAAGAGCAAAACTTCCATATATGCTTGATATGTTATCATGATATTCTAAATAAATAACACGAGATGATATGATTGCTATCACACATTTAACTAAAACACCATTACATTATTACTCTCATTTCATGTTCGTCATTCTTGAATGCAAAAGAACAAACACATGTCGGCCTAATTTTGAATAATATTTGGCTACTTAAATGATGAATATGAGTTTCTATTCAAAATCGTTCGTTGCCAATTTATAAAATTTCGTGTTTATAATTAGAATTGTTCATATTATAAATTACTTTATGAAGATCATCTTTTGCAAAATCAATTAAAATTAAGGTCGTTTAGTTATTGAATTGTATAAAAACAGATGAACAGAATTGGTAAAAGTGTTACGAACCGTCTATATATTTGTTATAATAAATTGACTAAACAACCTTATTTTTAATTCATTTTCTGCATAAATGATATTTACAAAGTAAGTCGTAAGATAAACGGATTTGATCATAAGCACAAAACTTCGTAATATATTTTTTTTCTTCGTATCTTTGGTTGTTGTGACTAAAAGGTAAAAAGGTCAAGAACTTTTATTTGGGACCGGGAATTCTTAATCATAACCACAATTTCGCCAACTAAGAGTAAAAAGAAAAAACCACAATTCCAGCTTGCTTTGGGTTGCTGGCTGTCTTCAACCTCCATTTTGCTATATTTCTCGCGAAATCCAACAAAAACCCATTCACCTCATAACTTACATACACACATCCATCCACTGCCATCGCCATGATTCTTCATTATTTATAACCAAATTTCCAAAAACCCATCATCCCAGAACTCCCTCAGATTCCTTCCAAATCGAAAGTAAAAGACAAACCCAAGAGAAACACGACAAAAATTCGCTCCTTTTTTTTGCAGTATTTGAATTTTGGAGAGGAGATGGGGGCATACAGAGCCGACGACGATTACGATTACTTGTTCAAGGTGGTGTTGATCGGCGACTCGGGCGTCGGAAAATCGAACCTTTTGGCGCGGTTCACGAAGAACGAATTCAGCCTCGAATCCAAGTCCACCATTGGCGTCGAGTTCGCCACCAGAAGCATTCGGGTCGATGATAAGGTCGTCAAGGCCCAGATTTGGGACACCGCCGGCCAGGAAAGGTTTGGATCCGCATTCTCTGTTTCTTTAAAAATCTGAAGTTTTCTTAATTAGATCTGGGAATTCGCATTTTGATTTATTTTCTGGGTTTTCTTGGTTTCCTTTGAAAATTGGGGTTGTTTTGCTAATATGGTATTGCACGGATTAGATTATCTTGTTGCTGGATCGGAAAAGGGATTGTTTTTATGGGTCTGTTTGTTTGATTGGTATTGTTTGGTTGCCGAGAATGTTGAGGAAGATATCGTGAAATTGCTAATGAAAACATTGGAGCTTTTATTTCTCATTGTTTCAGCCATGGGAGAAGGGTAACTTTTTAGTTAGCTGAGCTGAATCTTACTGCGTTTGTATTTGTTTTCGGAATCCATTTCGAACAATCTTCATTAAGTATGAACACTAGCAGATTATCTTCTTGTTGGTCGACCCCGAATAGACTGCATTGTTCGCAAATATCCATCTGATTTTGTTCTCCTTATGTAAAAGGTATCGTGCGATCACAAGCGCATACTATCGAGGTGCCGTTGGGGCCTTGCTTGTCTATGACGTTACTCGTCATGTTACGTTTGAAAATGTAGAAAGATGGTTGAAGGAGCTTCGCGATCACACGGACGCCAACATTGTGATCATGCTGGTGGGAAACAAGGGAGATCTGCGTCACCTGCGAGCCGTTTCCACCGATGATGCTAAGGCGTTTGCTGAACGAGAGAACACCTTTTTCATGGAAACTTCTGCCCTCGAGTCCATGAATGTCGAAAATGCTTTCACCGAAGTGCTGACGCAAATCCATCATGTTGTGAGCAGGAAGGACCTTGACATCGGGGATGACCCAGCAGCCTTGCCCAAGGGACAGACGATCAATGTTGGGGGCAAGGACGATGTATCAGCTGTGAAGCAAGACGGGTGTTGTTCTACGTAAAATTTGAAGGAATTGTTCCAAGTGCCTTTCGGAGTTCCATCGGGCGAGGTCATGTCTAATTGTCTATGCAGATGTTGGCCTGACTCCACCAAAATTGCTTTTCTCGACAGGATGCTAACTCTTTGAACATTATGCTTTAGATGCTCGAAAGCTTGTCCATGTTACCCAAAAATTTAGGATGTTAAGAATATGTTGTTTTTTCCTTTGATTCGATTTGAACTACTTGCTTCCCGTTGTGTACTATTGTTCTTTCTTGGTTGAGTTTTATATCAAATTCATTTGTTTGGAAAACAAGTAACTTCGCCGCATCTCCAGCACAAAAAGTGAAAATTCAAAATTCGAAACGGACTGGCGATTAAACGGGTTCCAAAAGTTTTCTTTAGTTATATGAATTTCGTGGTTATCTTGCTGATTGCTAGGACTATCACTATTTTTGTGCCATGTTCTGATTCAGATGAAATATCGAATTCGCACCACAAGATTGCTTCTTTAAACTTCGATTAATAAGTGCGAGAGCTATTGATTTAAAATTGAATCGAAATTTCGGAGAAGAAGACTAGCTCACCAGGAACTGGTGGAGAAATGGGGCTCATGAGCGTTAAGCTTCATCGGGTTTGTCGGGAGGAGGAAGTGGAGGAGAATCGTCGTCGTGGCGGTCGGAAGAGGGTAGAGGATCACCGCCCTTGATGAACCAACCGCGGGCAAAAAAACGAAACTCCAGCGAGAATGGTGCTGCCCCAGGCGGGAGAGTACCATCTGCTGTACTGCCTGATGGCAAACTTCCACTGCTCCCGGAGTGTCACCGCGTCTGGGATTTCTGGGTCGGACGGGTTCAGGAAGTGGACGTTTTGGCCCGAGAAACTACTGTTGGGTTTGTTCGTATGGGAGTTGTTGATATAAGAAATACGAACGTTTGGAGGTGTTTTGTTGGGTTTGGGTTTAGTCATGGCTGGTGAATCGGTCGGCTCCCCCAAGTTTTGTTTGTGTTTCAGGTTTCGCCGAAGAGGAAAGTGTTTTTCTTTTGTTATATATTCCCGGCGTTTCCCACCTTTCCTAATGGACATATGGCTAACTCTCGCAGCCGAGGAACTGCGATAGAACTGGCTAACCGACTTGTCCGACCATCAAATATCGACAAGATCTCACTTACATTTCATCGATAACATAAATCTTTTATCGATACAGTAAACCCCTATAAATGTTTTACACAGTAAATATTCCAAAAGTTCCTAAAAGGTCTAAAAAATCCAATGGGTTTTTACCACATAAGAGTAAAATAATTTCTAATTGGTTTTTCCATTACCGATAAAATTCTAACGGCAGCATGACCATGTTTTGCTTCAAGTTAGATCATTTGCGGGCTTCAACCTTCTTCTGTTCTTTGGCTGAAACAATTAGGAGTTGAACAATTACAGTTCTTGAAGATCCAGAACAGAGAAATCGACCCAAAAAAAGAAAAACGAAAAAAGAAAGAAGAAATAAGTTGTGGGGGTCTCAGAACATTACCAGCTTTTTCTTCTTCTCTCTTTTTAGCAGCTTCTGCCCTTTGCTCTCGTATAAGAGCTAAACGCTCTGCAGGATCAACAAAATGATATCAATAAAAATTCAAAACTATAGCGCTAAAAATGTAAATCCAACCCATAGGAGCTCCTTTCATTCATTGTTCTTCTCTAAAGAACCCATATCTTTCAGCATTAAAATGTGCAGCAAACAATAGGTGTGATAATAGAAAGTGACTAAATTTTGAAGAGATTCTAACATATAACTGGTTGTAATCCTCTTACTCGTATCTGTCTCATCACGTGAATGTGTCACGTGATGAAAGAGATGATAATAGGAGGTTATCCCCGATTACACCCAGAATTTCCCCCCAATAGACATTAGAACGGATTTAAAGGTACTTTTTGCAAACAATAATCAACGACAATTACCTAAATCTTTCCTTGCTTGTTCAGTTTTTCCCTGTTCTTGCAACCTCATATATCTCTCACGGGCTCTCTGTTTCTCTAATTCTTCTCTGAAAACAAATGAACAAAAATTGAGGAAGTCCAAACCGATTAAGATGAAATAACTACGAATAGAACTTATATTCCGCTGACAAACCTTTCACGCCTTGAGAGTTCAGTTGTCCTTCCCATCTGTAGAGATAAAACAAATAATTCTCTCTCATAAAATTCACTACCATAATTCACAAGCTATTCTCAAAGAAATTTGCAGAACTTACATCAACATCTCGAGCTTTCACAGTCTTTGGCTTTACCAAATTGGGATTTTCAATCTCAATAATCCCTTGGATCCCCTTCTTCTTCTGCTAAAATTATTTGACAACACGAAAAAAGATTCACATTATTACAAACCAAGACAAACAAAAAACCAAACTTTTTCTACAAGGATGACAGTTCATGTTAACTAACCTCATCTTGTCCTTCGGATTCATCTCCGGACTCCTCTTCGGAACTTGCTACAAAATCTACTTCAACTTCATCATGTTCAGCTTCTCGCTAACGAAAACAAACAAAATAACTTTCTTAAGCCAAAAAATCAAATGTTTCGCATCACTATATAATATGTGAGTGCGAGAAGGACAAACCTTCGAAAAAGTTCGAGGACGGCTGGAGGTACCAGCAACTGCAAATTTACAAATACAAGAAATAGGATATCAGAATTGCTTAATTTGGAAACAATTAACCGATCTGCGACTCAAACAAACCAAAACAACCAAAATTCATATCAATTACCTAAATTTTACGTCAAATCGTTTTCATGGTCTAAAAAAGTTGTAACATCAAACAAACCAACAATCCAAATTCATATAACTTCAATTCAATTACTCACAAAACACAACATGATCAAACAACACATATACAACTTGCCAATTCAACGAGTCCAAGGGCCTTAATCCTCTGTTTGGTTACCCAGAAAACGCCCAGAAAGTTGGATGGAAAGCAAAAGTAAAACAACAAACTAGGTTTTTTTTTTTTTTTTAAATTAAAGTTAAGAATTAAGATGTATTTAGCTTACGAAGATCTTCGGGAGTGGAGAACTGGCGATGGCCGGTGGGCTTGCTCTTGAACTTCCCCCTTACCATCGTTTGAATTCAAAAGGAAGACGAAACGACACCGGAAAATTCCGGCTCAAGAATCTGATCAGAAAATAATCGGAAATTTTGGTGGATTCTGGTGTTTATTTGGGGGCTAGGGTTTCGATACAATTCGACTGGGAAATCCAAAAACCCTAGTCGAATCGTCCTTCTTTGAGATCTGAGCGCCGTGTTGTGGAGGGAAATCCTCAAAATCCCTCTATAAATATGTGAATGCTTTCGGTTTTGTTGACTTTGACTATTCCAATAATTTTGAATGTCCTGCGTAAACAAAGGGCCCAATTACTTGCAAAGCCCCATTGTAAATATTTAATGAGCTTGACTACAAAGACCCAATTTCTCTCCACTCCCACAAAATGATAGAAAACTCGATAGAAGAGTGGAAGGCTAAGTCTCACAATAGGCAAACAATAATGTGGTTTAAATTTATCTTTGACAAGAAACAAACCTAAAATCTCTCACTTACAAGTGAAGAGGAATACTAGTAGAATGTAATACTAAGTGACACCTTCCTTTAAAAAATAAATTTATTATTATTAAGGGAAGACGGTAGGGTTCGAAATTGTTAAAACTCCATTTAGGGAATCCAACTGCCACATATGAGAACTCATTTAACGACTTAACAAAAATCTTTGTGTCCCTAAAGATTGAACCGTTGGATCCCATAGGTAAAAAGAAGATGAAAAGACAAAAAAATATATGTAGGGCTCGGGCTGACGCTATGTCAGGCGCGTCTGCCATGGCTGCCAGCAGCTTCATTTCATTTGCACGTAGTGGGTTATGAATCCAGATCCTTTTTGTGAGGATTCCAATGATTCGTGAATTATATTTGTTTATCGTACATTGTGTGATTAAAAATCATTTTAAATTTTTTTATTTAAAATTAAACATAAATAGTATCTGACAAAAATTGATCACACGATATACAATAAATGGACACAATTCATAGATTTCCATAATCTTCATAAAGAGGATCCTCTTGGTGGGTTACATCTAACTCATAATTCATATGGGCCCCACTCAATTTTGTGTCAGTAAAACCAGTCCTCATTTGTAGTGTTTTTAATACATATGCGGACAATCCCTCTAATATAAGGACTAGAATTCTACTCCACTGAAAGCACAAAGATCTTAAATTTAAAGACATACGGTAATAGAGGGCGGTAAGGGCTTTGATTAAGGACTCTTAGAGATTCTCTAATAATTTTGAGACGAAAGAAATTTCAAACTCAAAATACATGAGTAGAAACTCAACATACTATTTGTGGGTGCAAATTTCTTGCTCCTTGTTCTTGGACAAAATTGCACCTACAAAACAAATAACACCTTAGGTCAAGGCCAAGAGCCTCATGTGCTCACGATGAATAAGGGGGCTTTGGTAGAAAAACCTCTGATGCCAAAGTTAGAATTTTGAGAGAAAAGTGTTTGGAGAATTTTGAGAATTTGGACTTGAATTTTGGAGAGAATGATGGGGTTCTTATAAGGGTGTGGCCGGGTCCTTTGGGAGAGGGAGAACTGGGCACTTGGATGAATTTGTGGGCTAGGTTCATGATTTGTGTTTAATTAGCTAATTAATTGAATAATTAACCAATTAATCTAGCTAATTAATATAATAAATATGGAACGATTTACGGGTTACCTTGTAGAGAATATTTGATGAGGATAAATGAAATAGGTTTAAAAATAAACTCCTATTTGGGCACTTTTGACTTGATTGAGGGAGGATTGTCTATTGCTCATGTATATGAATTTCGGTATGCCTTGAGGGTAATTTTGTTCTTTTAATCCAAAAATTCACATATCGTCTCTTGATTATTTTTGGCTGTACACTATTTATTATAATATTATGATATTGGAAGGATGGAAACGGTTTGGTTTGGGGATGAAAATGCTATATCCATCCCCATAACCACGAAAATTAACCATATCCATAACCGCAAATTAACTATCAGGAATTATCCATAACCATATTCACTGAGTAACGGATTTTCAATCGGTTATTGGTTATATCTATCTTCGTCAAAAAACGAAAAAAATATATATATTTATCCAATTGACGCATTATAAATTTTAGTAGATACTAATTCGTCATTAAATAGCAACATCCAATTACAAAAAAACTAACAATATATTTGAAGTTGTTCATGATAACATCATCAATTTCTTGGCAGTGAGACTCTTGAAGAGAGATGAATCTGATAAACTTGTAATATTTGATAATTAATATATAAAATGATTCAATGAATTAATTTGGTTGAGTATAACAATAAAAGTATTGAATTGATGAGGTTATTGGTATGCCCCATACATGATGTTTGGTGTATAATAAAGATAGTATAGGGTTTGATGCATACATAATGAATTAGTATAGGGAGGATTCGGTAAATTGAATAAAGTTATATTATATATCAAATATATATATATATTCGTGTCGGATTTAGGGACAGATATGGATTGGGAACCCTTATAACCGTATCCAAAACCATAACCGAGTAAAGTTCACTGTTTTTCCCCATATTCATATCATACCCGAATTTTCATATCCAAATTCAATTCATTCGGACGGTTATCCAAGGTTATTAGGTTTAACAATTAGAATTATCATCTCTAATTGGAGCATATGCATTATTGTAAAAAAGGGTTTTTTGAAATGGATCAAAAGTAACTAAAAATTGAACATATTTCAAAAATCAAAAGTGACTAAAAATTGAACCTATTTCAAAAGGTAGTCTATAAAATTGAACCTATTTTAAATTTTTCCTTGTAAAAAAAAGAGATCCCCCACCAATCCCCATCGACCCGCGCCCTCTACACCTACTTTTTGGGAAAAAAATAAAGAACCAATTCATTATTCACCAAGCACAATAGACCAAAACGAAACTAGAGCCACATCAAATTTAGCGTCACCAAACGACCACGTCTCTTTTTTTTCATGGACGACAAACTACAACGTGTCACTCATCAACTTTTGTTGTGATGGATATGTACTTAGAGCACTCCCACCGTTGCATTTAGCTCGGGGGACCGGCTCCAGAACAAAGGCCCGAGGGCCGGTGGACGGCGTCCAGCGTGACGCAGGCCGGGGGACGGGGGAGGCCCGAGGGCCAGGCCCGTGAGGGATTGCCAGCCCTTGAGCCCGAGGTGGGAGTGACGCAAGGCTGACGCCAGGATGGCGTCAGCGTAATATTTTATTTTTTTTGTGTCAGGCGCGTGCACCCCACCCGCGCGTGGGGGCGCGTCCTGACACGTTGGCCTGCAGAGTTCCATACCTCGTCGTTGCCTGCTTCTATCAAGGTTTCCGGAACGCCTTGGCCTGCAGATCTGAGCCGCAGCTTGGATGACTCGACGGGAATGTGAGGCTCTGCCCCTTCTTATGTCGTCATCTCTCATTTGACGCTCCTCATCTTCTTCCCTCTCATTTCTTACCCCCTGCTGATTGAACATTGATTCTGATTGGTTAAACAAGTCTTCCTCTTCCTGATTCAATTCCCACATCATCCTTGAGGAAGAAGAAGAAGACATTGAAAGAAAGAAACAGAAACTATGAATATTGAAACTGATTTTTGTGAATAAGGAAGCAGAAATTATGAATAATGATAGAGATCTTGAGAATTTTGGTGTGAGATTTGTGAAGATGGATGGTGGATTATATAGAGGATTCAGAAAGGATTAGGTTCTGCATAATGCCACGTGGCATGCCGTCATTCGTTAAAAATCTGATGGAAATCTATCATCCAAGATTGTTAACAGATTATGACACGTGGCATGCCGTCATTCGTTTAAAATCTGATGGAAATCTATCCTCAAAGATTGTGAACCGATTATGACACGTGGCGCGACGTGATTGGTTAATAATCTTATCAGAAATCCATATTATAATTATTTATTTTGTATTATTTAATAATACTTAGGATAATGACACGTGGCGCACCGACAACGATTAAAAATCTTATCCGATATTACATTTAAAATTATTTTGTATTAATTTTATAAATAAAAAAAATACTAATATTTTATTGCCTATTGCCAGGGCTATAGAAGTGTAACGGTGGAGATGCAAAATCTATTGCCAGGGCTACTTACTGTTCATTAAGGGCAATTACTGTTCATTAGGTGGATTGAATAGTGTATTGCCAGGGGGGAGGGCTCCAACGCTGGAGTTGCTCTTATAAATACCAGTTGGTCTTCTCCCAAATAAAAAAAAAAAAAAAACCAGTTGGTCAAATATCTAAGAAATTCACGGACTCCGTACTTGACTCTTCTTTAGGTATGCAAGACTAATTCAGGAATGTGCATGTTTTTGCACCATGGCATCTAACTTCCTGTGAATTAAATATACAAGTATTGTTCTGTTTGATCTGAGCGATATTCTAATGTCATCAGATTACCGACAGGAGAATCCGAGCTTCGGTGTATAGGGTTGTCCCACGCTGATCGAGCCAGCTTGACTACATTCCGTTTGCAAACATGGGGGACAAGAAACTTCACGTTGCCATGTATCCTTGGTTTGCAATGGGGCACCTGATCGGCCACAGAATCTCCTTCTTTGTCCCCTTCAAAACCCTACAAAAGTTAGAGGCTTTTAATCTCTACCCGGATCGCATTGCCTTCATCCCCATCAATGTCCCTCACGTTGACGGGCTTCCACCGGGCACCGAAACCACAGCTGACGTTCCTTTCCCCCTGCACTCGCTCCTCATAACCGCCATGGACCTCACCAGGCCTGCAGTTGGACAAGCCCTCAGGGAACTCAAGCCCGATATTGTTTTCTTCGACTTCACGCATTGGCTGCCGGAGTTGTTACATGAGCTTGATATGGGTATTAAGTCCATACATTACTGCATAATTAGTCCTGCAACTATCGGGTACCTGTCAATTCCCGAAAGGAATCCGATGGAGAAACAGCTAACAGCGGCTGACCTTATCCTGCCTCCGCCATCCTTCCCTGCATCATCGATTACCCTACGAACGCATGAAGCTCGTGGGCTTGTAGCGGGCATGTCGACAGAATTCGGCAGTGGGGTGACATTCACGCAACGCCAATTTCTTAGTTTTAGTGGATGTGATGCTATTGCTTTCAAAACTTGTAGAGAGATGGAAGGGCCCTATTGCGATTATATCGAAACCCAATATAAGAAGCCGGTGATTCTGGCAGGGCCGGTGGTGCCAGAGATCCCAACTACAGAGTTGGACGA